GTATTCTGCTCTGCATTCAGATCAGTTCATTTCTATTCCTATGTAATGTATGCTACTATTTTCCATAGTGTATTTATCATTACCCCATTATCATGATCATCAATAACAGTTATCTGTCATTACCATTATCAAAATTATTGTTTCCTTTTTATATCTTCATTCATACTTACTCAGTCATCTTCCAATATACTAAACTGTAAATGTGTAAATGTGTATTTATTTCAATGCTTACTGTCATTCATACATATTCACATACATTCATTCACAACTTTGTATCGTCAAGCAGATCATTCAATACCTCTGCAGGTGATGCCTCTCGTTCAGCACTCTCACTTTCTCGTCCCTCCCGCTTGAGTAACTGGTTGAAAGATGTTGCCAGGCTCTTTTTGGCTCGACGTATGGAGGACTCAAAATTTGCACCTATATGGAAATCTGGCCTGATGGAATGAATCTCTATTAATTCAAAGAAAAAGAGGATACCCTTAAAAAAAATTATTACATGAGAATCTTCTTAAATACTTACTTGACAGCAAGAAGTATTGAGAAATGAATAACCTAATTAGTTAGCCTTACCTAAATACCATTAATCAATGAGTGAAAAATCAGAAAACGCAAATACAAAAATGCGCAAATACAAAAATGAGCAATTCTAAACAAGAATACAGATTTCCTACAATATACTCACTTAACTCCACCACCAGGTAGGGCTGTGTGGGTGTGAGTCGACTGCTTGCACTCAAAATGAGCTCTGAGGAGCATCATGAGAATATTATTCTGAGCCTGAGTATCTGAAACCTCTGCCCCCTCATATTTTGCAATAAGGGTTGTCCGATCTTCTTCTGGCAGTGAATTCAAGCGTTTCATTATAACCGTGTGGGCTTTAGCTGCAGGCATTCCTATCAATAGAAAGAAGATAAATTTAAGAACTTACTCCTCTCTCATCTCCAACAATTTATCACAAAAATCTAATACAGTTATAATGAAAAATAATATTTCACATAAAAATTCACATAAGTAAGTATTACCTTCAACTTCTGCACACAGCTGGCTGAACCACCTCATTGGACATTGATCACACAACAGGTTTTCTTGTCTTTCACGTAACTGTGCTTCATGCACCGCCGCAAATGCTTTACTAAGAGCTGTAATTTTAAAAGATATTTAATCGTTACACTTTTGTAATAACAATATCAATATTTCAGAGCTTCTATTGGGAGACATTTAATAATTGTAACAATGATCAAAGATGCCATTTACATATGGGATAGAAGTATATGAAAGTCGATATATGGAATCTACATTACTATTATATAAAATTTTGTTTATAAGTTCTTCATTACTTCAATCTTTATAATAATAACTGAATAATCCTTTTTACAACCTTGCATGATTTCATCGGTAACTGAGCTGATCTGGCACTTAAAAACATATCCAAGGTAGCAAGGGGTGTCACCACTTATCTCTCGGCAAATGAATCCAAAGTGATCATTCTGTTTGACGCCCTGAAAAGACAACATAAAATGAAAGTAATATCATCAGTATGAAGAACAAGTCTGTTAAAATAAAAGGTGTATATCTAGGAAGGCTAGTGAGACAACAATATCTGTAAACATTTTCTACTTGTTTTTAAACTTTACACTGATGACGTACAGAAAGAAAGAGAGCAATATAAAAAAAAGAAAAAGAAGAAGAAAAAAAGTGAGATGGAGAAAGTGAGAGAGAGAGAAACATAAAAAAAAAAAAAAACAAGGATAACATGGGAGTGTTGAGAGGGGACAGAATAGTAGGATACACAGACAAGAATAGAAATATACAGGGGAAAAAAAAGTACTGTATATAAAACAATTATACACAAACATTTCTATTAAAATAACAACAAAAAACATTCTGCTCACATACAAAACTCAGCAAGTTCCAGTGATACTCTAATAAGCTTTCTTTAGGATTTGCACTGACCACTCTATCACTCGAGCAGACAAGCGAATGGAAATGCTTATCTCTGTAGAGATAATACAGTGATAACAACATAATGACTGTCTTGACACCTTCTATACTTGCTTACCCTGAGAAAATATGATTTTCACTGTGATGTCTTGTAAAATGTATCTACACATAGATGGCTCCACAAGTGCTCAGTCACCAAGAGCCAATTAGTAGTCTCTGTGACTTCACCTGAATTTGCCTCAAGTTTTCCAGATTTTTTTTTTCATAATGCTCTTCACCTATTAACAATGGATTTAACAATTGGCTAGTGGCCACTAACATGGGATTGTTTGTGTTTCCCACAGTACTTCATGCACAACATTGGGCATAAAAAAGAAAGAAAGAAAGAAAGAAAGACAGAGTAAGAAAGAAAGAAAGAAAGACAGAAACAAAAAAAATGGAAGGAAGGAAGGTTTTCCTTCAGTCTAAGTGCCAGTGTCTAATAGTGACACCAAACAAATGAATGTGACTAATATCAGAGAAAGACGAGCTCCATCAGATGAGCCAACTTTGCTGGGTATGTCAAGATATGGCGCCATCTGTGACTCTGTCTACTACAACCATTCCATGAAATGTGCCATTGACCAAGGATTAATATCTATGCTGTTCCCATTACTATTGGCATTATAATTAAGACAGGATCATGAACTAATAGCAATATAAATAGAATAAAATATTTCCAAAAAGGTCAGGCCATGTGACATAATCAAGAATCGACATGTGGTGTGGTAAACAACCCAAGGAAAGAGGTTTCCTGACTGTGCCTCTTGGTTCTTAACCCAAGCTTAGTCAGCACTTGCTTTGTGCAAACATCTAACGTCTTTAGAAATGTTGGCATCATTTCATGCACCACTTCAAAACCATATCACATTTTTTTAGACTTCCTTTGACAAAGAAGTAAAAGACATCCCAATTTTTCTGGACCATATCCCATATCATATAGGTGCTCAAACCTTCTACAAGGTACTTAACCAATCCAAATGTTTTACCACAATGTCAGTAACCCTTCATAAATCTAGCAATCAACTGACCACTAAATTTGGACATAAACATAATCAATAAAAGTAAATAACACTATAAAAAATAATAATAATAATAATATCATCATCAATGTATTTTAAACTTTGACCTATTGTATCACTTCCCATTCAGGATCACATAAGCACTTACCTGGCAACAGTGGGCAATATCTCTAAAGTGTTTGTTGAGCTGAACTGACTTAACCTCTGGATTAATTAGCTGGATTTCACTCCGTCCGATGTGGAACAGCATTGTACGGTTAAAGTCATGGCTCAGCATCTGATGAAAGTAAAATATTTACATGTCATATAATTTGATTAAAATGAAATGGTACTGGCTTAATATCCATATTCTCATAAGAAATTTGAAAATTATAACGATATTGATCAGATAATAATGACACACATTAACCCAATGGCGCCGGGTGTACAAAACAAAAAAAAAACTCTACGCTTAAACAAACAAAGGCGGCGCGCCGACTTTGAGCGCGTGAGTAGGGGACATCAGCCCAAATCACTGGCTCGCCGCGCTTTGGCACGCCACTGGCTCGTTTGGCTGCACGCCAGCTTTCGAGGTCTTTGTTTACACGCCGATCGGCATCACCCGGCACCAAGGGGTTAAGGAATGCTGATAATTATAAGAGATTAATATAGAAGTGATACCAATTGATCAGCTCACAACTTACCCACCAACACTTGCAGCTTGATAGAAAAAAAAAAAATTGTTTCATTAAAGTTATCATTAAAAATAACCAAATACATGAGTATGTGGCTTACTGAAAAACTGTATGGTTATGATGCATGTTTAAGCTAATACAGAAAACATCTCTCTTTTTTTCTCTCTATTATGAAAAATACAAAAGTGCAAATAATCACCACACATAATAGCCAAAAGTAATATCAACTTCTCACCTATCATGAACCATTTCAAAGTGTGAAACAATCACCTATACCAAATGCCTAAAGATTTTAGACTAGAACTCCTCTTTGTCCACTGTTTACCACTCTTTACCTTTTCTATGTCTATTTTTACAATGGAAAATAGCAGTTAAACCTAGAAGTGGACATACCTAGGAAAATATTTTGGGACCTGAAAGGAATATCACCATGAACCCTCTGGCCAACAGGACATGGGTTCTTTTTACACCTTTAAATAAAAAATTATGCACAGAAATTTTGCAAGATAATATTTCATATTTAGTAAAGATTACTAAAATAAAAGCATTATGCTTAATTCGTAAGTACAAGAAACCAAATGGATAATAGTGAAAAAACTTAATAAAAAAGAAAGAAATCCTTACTCTTAAATCACAATCATTATAACGGATGCCTCTAGGTTTTGCAGTTATACTGCCGATTGAACCAGCTCGAGCACGCATCCCATGTTCCTGAGCAGTTGGTGCCCTGGAATAAAGCAAAAAATTATGAGCTACTAACCTCTATTTATTTTTTGAAAATAAAAATTGTATTTGATACAATTACTGATAAAAATGGAAATGCAAGATTTCCTTAAAGATTATGAGAGGGAGGGGGAAGAAACTGATAAAAATTTACCTGCGAAATAACTGACTAGAATCTCCAGAAATTGTTCTCAGACGCTGTCGAAATGGCTCAACAACGGACAACTCTGGTGCAGATGTTTCATCAGATTCTGGGGTGTCTTCTTTATCTCGTTGATTGTCAAACCCTACGAATTTAGAAGTCAGGCATGTTATTAACAAATCCACATATCAGCTAGGTCAACAAAATCCCATTTTTACATAATGAAAGTTTAAAATATTCTAAAATATGGTGAACAGCATTTCTGACCTAAAATGATCTTGCTTTTATCTTTTCCTCACAAAAGGATTTCTAAAGGATTTTTCTCATAGTTTTCTGCCCCTTTCATTTCCTTTAAAGAATCAGCAAGTCAATTATCAATATGGAAAATTATTACAATGAACAACAACAACAACAAAAAAGGTATACTGCAATAAAAAAAAAAAAAAAAAAAAAAAA